CCCTCGTTCCCTCGAACCCCGGGAACCTGCTGCCTCACCACAGAACAGGGAGCAGAAGCCTGTTTGGTAGGCATCATTGCCTTCTAGCGGTGTATCACTACATGACACCTATGCCCCCACACTTCTGCGAGCAAAGCTACTCGGCTCTTTCTTTGCCCGCATCCGGGCCTCATTCGTCTCAGGAAACAGACACGGTTGGACAGAATTTGCAGAGCGGAGACAGATGCTCCATTACTAAATGTGCTCTGCTCAGAGGGGTTTTCAAGCCACTCCAGCCACACTTTTTCACGTCATCAGTGTATTAGCTTTGCTGTGTCCAAGTCAAATGCCTCCACTCATCTCCAGCAGCGATAACGCAGCAGCAAATAAAAGAAGGGAGCATCCCATCCATACTGCCCTCACTGCAGTAGGATCAAAGCACCTTCCCAAGCAATGTGCTGCATGCCACAGCAACAGCTTCAGCACGACCGTGCCACAGAAGTGGGTGTATAGTGCATAGGGATGTGCCATACAGGGATGATGGAGGCAACTCGAGAGGCCTCCCTCTGGGTTATCTCCATCAGCTCTTGACATGTCTGGGTCACTCTCTCTACTGCTCTTCCCAGAGGAGAACTGAACATTCAGGTTGTTTAGATGGGGCTTGAGCTTTTTTTTAAATGGACTGCTCCATTTTCATGTTATCAGAACTGAAAGGCACTTTGTTTTGGAACACAAACTTTGCAATGGCTTTTGGGTTTTAGGACAGTCATGCTCCTAACTGGGAGAGATCAGCAAACTGCAGTGAAAATATACTTTTGGGTGGAATGCTCCATTGCGCCATGGCAGCAGGATGAGTGATCCTGCTTCTCATGCAGGAAGCTGATGTTCCCAACTGGTTGTGGTGGTCTCAGCACAGAGAGGGGTGTTCAGAGAGCAGAAGGAGACAATGACTTTACCCATTGGGCTCTGATGGAAAGATTGAGTCTACATGCCCAAGGAAATGCAATGAATAGCCATGGCTTCTTTTTTCAAGAAATGACCTCATGCCTTAGCAGTTAGCAGCTCAGCTCATTTAGAAAGTTAAAATAAATTACACCGGGATTTTAAAAATTCATTTCTTCAAGAGCTAATTAAAATACTGCTTGCCTCATTAATTCCAGGTAGCTCCTCTTAACACACGACATGCCTACTCTCACACTGCCCACATAAAACTGCAGCCACATCAGATACTGCATTCATCAGCAGAACTCAGCTGGTTCTTCCAGCATGGGAAATGCAGCTCTCCCAGGACAGCTTTAAGAGATGATCTTTAAGATATGAATCATAGGTTGATTTAGTGGTTAGGGCTAACTGTTACTAGAAGGACGTGAACATACAGACTTCCCTGTTATACTACTGCATAAAATTATATGTATGTGATATACCATATATACATATGTAACATATCAGGCAAAATGAAAGTGCCAGGCCTCCGACATACAGAGAATGAGGGAGCAGAAATCCATGTATTACCATCTTTAGACATCAGCCCCTAAGCTGTAGTAAAGACAACAGAGTCTGGACTCTGTTTCAGACACACCATAAGCTGCTCTCTGCAGGACCCAAGCTCTCTCCATTGGTTTGACCAGAGACTCAAATTTGACAGCTGAACTTCAATGGCATGAATATCCCTTACAGCATCTTACCTAGGGCAGTATTCCACCTTCCACTTTTTGTTACATGCACACACACACACACACACACACACATTATCCACATACAGACACATATATACGCACAATTGATTTTAAGCAGATCTCAATCTGCTCTGTAGGAATCAGAGGAAGGTCTCTGCACAAATGTGGTCTGAAGAAGCTTTCAAAACCACACACAGCAGGAGGAAACAGGCCTCACATTTGGCTGTTAGATTACATCTTTTAAGTGGCCTTTCTCAACTACAGCTCCAACTGATCAAATATCTAGATATTTCACATCTCTGTTGCCAGCAGAGAAGCCATTTCTTGTAAAGTAACAGTCTCTCCTAGTCCAGAAGCCCCTGCAACCCAGTGGGGTGTAGCTCCAGCCAGACAGCTGTTTTCTTGCATAAGGTAGGTAGGCTGTCTGCAGTTTCATGCAAGAGTGATGCTAGATTCCATGTCTAATACAGCAAGTGCCAAATTTTCAAGGCCCAATTGACAGGCAAGGGCTGCCAGCATCCAGTCATATCACAGTGATTTAACAGTGACAGGTTGCACTGAGGAGTCAGACTCACAAAATCTTGCACTTGAAAGGAAGCAGCTTAATTTGGTCCCCAGAACAAAGTGGACTGTCTATGGGGAAAAAAGCGCTTCAGAGGGTGCTTCAAGAGCACTGTGTTTCTCTGTTGTTCATCTCCTCTCCTCTCCTTACAGCCCATCCAACAGGACCAGGTAGAGTCGAGTCATAGCGAGGTTCCCACATGGCTTCCTAGGATTTAAACTTGAAGTAGGCTTCAACTGTAGTGAAGGAAAAAGGTGGTGGATTACGGCAATACCCTGAGCTGGAGTGGCAGGAGGGGAAGGAAACAACATCCAGACACTTACTTGCATATTCCTGTGGTGTCATGGCCTGGTTGATGACACTAGTGAAGGCTGCGAACCAGTCCAGCTGGTCAGTCTCTGTCTCGCAGGTGAAGAGGTATTCCCGGTCGGGGGTAACAATGGTGAGGCCATAGTGCCAAGACAAGTTGCCCTGTGTCCCTGAAGGCAATCCCTTCTGGACGCTGTAACCATTCTCTCTGCTGCCCACAAATACCTCGCCCTTAGCAAATGCATCCTGCACATCAGGAGGGACAAAGAGGGATTTACAGAATCCCAGAAGAACTAGGGAATAATAGCAGTGCACCTAAGGACAGGAGGAGAGTGGATGAGGACCAGGGATGTAGCAGCAAGAAGATTTGAAAGTGGTTGGGGGCTTCAGAAGAGCAGGGAGGCTATGATCAAAGACAGCAGTGGAAAGAAAATTTAAGAGCGTAGATCTCGAGACGAACTGTTGCTCCTGTCTCTCCATGTCACCCCCGTGTCGCTCTCCTCCCCATCACCACCTTTACACCGTCCCTGTTCCCCTTGTCTGCAGGCAGTGAAACAAACACAGAAAGCGTGGGATGAACTAAATGGGATGGAAAGGGAAAACGTAGAGTCCATTCAGAGCAGCTGGGGAACCTGCAAGCCTCCCTCACTGCAGAGCAAAGACTCTGGTTGCACTCTGACCGTGCCCTCAGCACTGTTGCCTGCAACTGCCAGAGGTCAGATCTCCCCCTCACCAAAGGGTCCTTGAAGTACATGAGCCTGCGGTGATCCAGCGTGAACCAGCGCTTCTTAAAAGCCTCTCTCTGCTGTGAAGGGAAGAGGTGACATATGTAAGGGGACAGTGCCCTCTGCCGCGAGCAGTGCGAAAGGATACCCAAAATTCATCCCAACCACTTGAACCAAGCCCCTGCCTTAACAGCAACCTCCTCCTCACCCTTTCTGAGCTGAGTGGGGATCATTATCGGGTTTTTCAGACCCAACTGCTGTCCTCAACTCTTGGACTTCTGTGAAGGACCCCAGAGTTGAGACAGGAGAAATCTAGATGCTAAATACCTGTAAGGTCACGCACACACAGACACATGCAGGGAGATCTGTTGTTCTGGGAGAAAGCAGGGACTCTGGCTCCATCTACTTTCACATGTGTCCTTCCCCTTCCTTTTATTCTCCCCTCCCTTGGTGCACATACACTGTTCCCACGAGTGTCTAAAGGGTCAGGGGGGAATGGGAAAACAGTAGGAGAAAAAAATTGAAGCAGGGAAGGTCAGTGGCTCTCTGGCAGGTCCCTGACAGATTTTTTTCTCCCACAGCAGCCCACCTTGGGACCAGTCTTCTCCATGTATCCCTCCTTCAGGAAGTTTCTTGTCAGCCGATTTTTAATCTGACAAAAAGGCAAGAGTAACATTCACTTAGTCACGTTTCTTTGCTATTCGCTTTCACCCCTCCACCCTTCCTTCTATTCCCCCAAATTCAGCCACCTTTAAAATTCATGTTCACAGAACTGCCTAGCCAGGAGTCACTTTTGTCTCCAAAGTGCCCAGAAACAGCAGAGCGGTTATTCTCTGGCCATCGCAGGCCTTTTTACACACACTTTCTCATCCCTCCATCTAAACACTGCTATTTCCACTTCCGTACCTGAGGATCTAACAGGAACTAATGGGCTCTTTTATCACATAACTGAGTACCAGCAGGAGACTCAGCACTGCGCTCTAGTGCCGCCTTACCTCATTATCGCTGGCAATGGGAAATGCCACTTTCAGATAATGGAACTGCACAGAGCGAATGGCATTGAACCAGTCCACTACCTCCTGAGAACGGAAAAGGACGGGACAGAAAGCTTTGTCAGAGCAACAGTGAGCCATCTAAATTTACCCAGCTGCACCCAACCCGATCTTAACTACAAACACAGCCAGCTCTCCCTCCCCAGCACCTACAGCATCTCCTTCACACGCACACAGCCAGCATGGCTGACCCATTCCCCGCATGCACAGGTGGCACATCTGCACATCTTCTACAGCAGCTCCTCCTATGCAAACTGACTCGGCCAGTGCTCCTGTCCTGCTCCCTGCCGCAAAACTCTCACACAAACACAGGGCCAGAATCCCCACCTCATTACCTACAGCAACTCACACACACCCACACCCATCGTACCTGTGCTTCAGACTATCAGCTTCTCAGATCACCTCAATTGTTTTGCAGTGTTTGATGCTAAAACAAGATACCTTTCCACTTTCATGGTAGACAAATATATTCCGGGTCTTGTTGTCTTTGAGATAGGTGATCTGCAGGCCATTGGGGTTCCCAATCTTCACTGGCTGGAACGTAGCATTGATGACATCTATTTTAACATTGATTTTGGGTTCTTTGGCCTGAGAACAGAATGGCAGTGGTCACGCATGAGCATTCCTAGTGGGAAAGAGACCTGAGCTGACTTAGTGGGATAAGGCAGGGTCAGAGGGTGTTAAAAGGCAATTAACTGTTCCTTCCCACCAAAACTGTTGTAGTAGACACTCCCTTCACTGTGTGGCATGCTCAAGCCCAAACAGTGGCCTAGTCCCTCCAATTTGGATTTGAGCTGTGACTACTATGGAACTGCCAGTGAGACACTAGGAGTGCATCTGTCTTTACAGCTGAGCCAGTCTAAAGGCTAACTGACCCCAAAAGGAAAGACCCCAGTCCTGCTCCTCTCTCCTCCAAGCCATTCCCTCCCTCGCAACAGCATACTAGCACTTGCTGCATTCATTTCAGAGAGATGAACTAGCAGAAGAGTAGCCCTCCTCAAAACAAACCAGCCAATGGGGTTTTGCCAGCTTGGCTCACAGCACAGTGAGGCTCTTTCCAGGGATGGTGCAGGATTACACAGCCAGGCAAACAGATAGGGGTGAAGTGAAAGATCAGCCCTTTTATTAGCAGTGAGGGAAGGGAGCAGGGAAGCACAAAGGGAGGATGTGGGGAAAATGTCACCTAGAGAGTAGGAAGGGGACCTCTCTCCTCAGTGACATGTTTCAGTTATCATCCCTGGCCTGGGATGAGCAAGGCAACCTCAGAAACATATGTAGGAAATGGAAACATCTCCATAACCCTGCTGCCCTGGGTGGAGTATGCACCGAGGTGGGAGTTGACCACCATACTCACATCCTGCTTGGTGAAATACTTCAGACATCCCTCTCTCTCAGACAAGAGGAACTTGCGGGGTAGAAACTGCCCGTTGTCTCGGCCTCGCTTCCAGAGGATACCTTCCTTCACCCCTAGGAGCAGAAAGGCAAATTTTAAGAGCATCCCCCCCACACACACACAGTAGGCACCAGAGAGCTGCATGCCTGGAGTCCCAGTCATGCCTCTGGGATAAAGCACATGATGGACTATTGCTGAGAGCAAACACTGGGAAGGAGAGGTCTCACTTCTGACTTACAGCTGAAGATAGTTGTGTTCCCGGGTTTGCAGCCCAGATAATCAATCACCAAAAGACATTTCCAGATGCTTCCCACCTCGTAGTCCAACTCTCACTACTTCCTCTAACAGCATGAGCTGTCTCTCTGGTGAATACCAGAGTCCTGGCCCACGCAGACCCTGGAGTGAGATCAGAACTCTTCCTATTTGACCCTGCAGATCCTTGGGCTCCAGTGCCTTGTGTCACAGCTCTGGCAGTGACATTTCAAAGACAACTGCTGTGGCTGGAGAGGGTGGCATGCAGCAGGACAGAAATTCCTTACCGCAGAGGTCTGGGTCCACCAGGACAGCAAGTGCCTTCGAACAATGCCAGCTGGTAATACCAGGCTTGGAAGCAACCCGTGGCAGTGTCAACCTACACTGCCCACAATTTAAATTCCCCTAAAACAATGCCCTGTAAGTACCAGCCAGGTTCTCAGGAGTATGTGTGGGATTTGCAACACTGACACTATGAGCTTTCTCCTCATGGTGCTCAAAAGCTTCCAGTGAAAGCAACAGACAGGACAATTTGGTGCTGTGCTCTGCTCTTACCATCAGAATACGGCAGCTGTTTTCCTGGTTCAGTGAACTCTCTGCGTTCGTATTTGGCCCGTATCCACTGTTCTCGCAGCACTCTGGGGAAACAGGTGACAGGTAGCTCAGAAACAAACTAGAGGAACCCAGAACTGCCCTTCCCCCTTTTCTTCTGTAGGTAGCAACTTACTGGCAGTCATTGTAGGTTGGCTGGTAATAGTAAATAGGGATGTGAGCTTCGTATGTGGCTTTACTCACAGCATTCCCATGCTTGGCCAGAAACTGCAGAGTTAGACAAAGAGTTAGTGCCTTCCCTTTGATGCAGACTCACGCTGCACTTTTTCTTTCCTGACACACTACAGGGCTAGATGCACATGAAGCTCTAATGGAGCATTCTCTTTCTCGTCCATTGCAACATCCCAGAGAAGTCTGGCTACAGAAAGGTGGGTCTCAAAGGTCTTGTCTACTCTCAGAAGTTACACCGATTGCACCTGAATCAACAGAAGGCCATAAATGTCACTTCCATGGGGTTGGGTGTACACGCATTCAGTGGATTTGCTGCCATGACCCACAACTCCGGGGAGACCAAGTTCAACATCTCTGCAATGCCATCTGGGAGAACATTCCAAACCTCTTCGCTCCTCTCTAAAGAGCAGCAAAACATAGATTATTTTCTTTGGATCTCCAGAAATTTTTTTTGCGTCCATTGAAGATTAATGGGTTGAGGGAGGTGTAACAGGAGAAGTCAAGTTCCCATAAATGCCATTTTTCTCAAGAGATCACATTATATCTGGAAACTCTTCCCGGAGCACAGAATTGCCCAAGATTTTCCCCTCAGACTGCTGAAATCAAGAGGAGACATTGAGGCTGGATGGTGCTAGCAAGTGGGAAATTAGTAATCCGGAGCAACGAAGACCCTGAGCCTTGGCAAGATAGGTTACAAGAGCTCTGCATTTGCCATAAAGTAACAGGACACAGGGAGACACATAAGGCAAGGCGTCATCCCCCTCCCAGTGGGTTATGGGGAGTTATCCTCACTTAAGTATCCAGAGCATGAGTAGCAAAGGGACTACATATCAGATTAAATCTCCAACTCTGTGGGGCCAAAGGACTGACTTTCCCAGGACATGTTAGTGTATGGCCTAGCCCCAACTCGCCTGACATACTAGTGGGGATAAAGATCTCACCTGCACCTGAGCATCATCCCAGTGGTCCATCTTCAGGGATTTGACTTTGCTGATGCTAGGGATGTTGCGGTGAATTCCCGAGCAGCTGAGGCATATAAAGACACCCAAAGTAGAGGATGCCCAGTCAGGATCTGAGGACATAAAAAAAGGGTATGAATAGAGATAGTAAATTCCCATGGAAGATGTGCCTCAACAGAGAAGATAGCCTGGAGAAACAGAGAGCTGTGCGACCACAGTTTCACCTGATCTGATTGATTGAAACCCAAGGTACAGGCAGGAAAAAGCATAGCTATTAGTCTCTCATTCCCCCTGCCTCAACCACTTCATCTGAATCTCTATTGACCCAAACCTTGAAAAATTCCAAAGTGCTCTGTGAACTCACATTGTATAAAGGGTTACCCACAATTAAACTGAAATCACCTCTAGGAAAAGAATCCAGGAGCTGTTTAATGTAACACAACAAACCTCCAACAGTATTTAGCTCAGCAAGTGAAAAGCAGCCTTGAATCAAAAATTCTCCAGGGAGAATCTAAGAAGGTAAAATGGTACTAATTAACCCAGTCTTAATTTGGCTTGAGTGGTACACTCCACATGCCCCCTTGGGCAGGACTACAATGGGTGTTTTCAGCAGCACCTGTAGGACCTCAAACTGGATACTCTTTTGAGAGGGCAAGCCCTTCAGTAAAAGAAGTCTCAGGTGCTTGTGGCAGGCTGTCAGTTCAGAGCTGAGTCACAGAGGAGACAATACCCTCCTGAATCATGCCTTCTTTCTGCAGCAGTTAGGATTTCACTGGGAACTTTCCTGTCAGGTCCTGACTGGGCACGACCTCGATTTCTATTCGAGATCTGACATGACTACAACCCACAGTGCTGCAGCTACACAGCCCCTGTTCATCTGGCACTACTATGTTCCCGTCCTTCTTCCCACCAGCGGCCTGGCAGCATCTCCTTCCCCCCTCCCTTGCCAACTCACCTCCAGGGAGAGGAAGTGAATATCCAGGCAGAGTGATGCCTCTCCTCCCGCTCTGCCCCAGGCTCCTGTGCAGTCAGACGGCCAGCACCAAACTACTGCTAGAGACCAGCCCTAGCTCCCTGCTTCTGACTCTTCCTCCAGCAGCCCTCGGGGACTCACCTGGCTTCCCACAGTCTGCACACAAAGAGTTTTCTGCTCTTCTCCACACCTCCTTCAGGGCCTTCAAGCTCCTCTCGTTGCCTCCAGCCATCATGTCCAAATGCTATCCCTCTGGGCAGGGCAGGGAGAGCAGCTGCCTGTGCCTTCTGCACCTGTGGGCCAACCCACTGGGTTGCCCAAGGGAGAAGGAGATGCCAGAAGCTCTTGCAGATGGTAGAAGATGGAGAAGGCAGGAGAAGCTGTAAGGTTAATGGAAGGAGTGTGGAGACTGAATGCACCTGAGCCGGCTGAGCAGGGACGAAGAGGCTGAAGTGCACCCAGACTGCAAGTGAGGAGGAGGAGAAGACCTGCCCCATGGGCGTGGAGGGAAGTGCAGCAATTAACCACAGAACTGGTTTTTCCGCATTTCTGCTGGTGAAAGGACAGGCCAGGAAAAGAGCACAAGCAGCAAGAGAGCTGATAAAGGCGAGGCGGCGCTGGACAAGAGCCACTAGGCTGTGCCAGGATTCGTCACACTCTGTGGGGTGAGGGGGTTGACTTTGGCTGCCCCCCCACCGCGTCAGCAGCTTCCACCAAAGTCAGCTGGCCACCACACAAGCATTACACTCATTTTTAGGGCAACGACCAGAGGGAAAAAAAGGTTCAAGAGTTCAGCCAAAGTCACTCAAGCCAGCAGCCAAAAACACGGCAGACCTGATGCCCCCACCTCCTCACACCAGTACTCCTCTCCATCATGGGCTACAGAAACCATGGCTGTTCAGCCAGGTGCTGTATCCTGGAAACTCAGTGTCACAGCTGAGACCAGTCCCCGTTTGCCTTATCCCCTCCTGACCCCGCCCCAGCTAAGAGCAGCACAGGTGCCACCAACACCAAGCAATGACAATAGCTTAAAATAAACACTCAGACCTTTATTGAAGAAATGCAGATGTTAAATATTTTAAGGAGTGACCTTTGTCATAGAGATGCATATGTAAAATACTTGGACGAGTGGCAGAGCAGATGTGGGGGCAAGACACGGGGTACCACACTGGCTGCACAAGGCAGAGCCACGAGAGCCTTTTGCCAGGAGGAAGATGAAGAGGAGCAGAAGCTGAAGAGCAGGAGGAGCTAGAGGCACCCAAGCCTGAAGGAGCCTACTGACCGCACCAGGCTGGATGCCAGGGCTGGCAGCAGACACCTGGAAGGCCCAGGCCAGCAGCTTCTCTCTCCTGGCCCCAGCTCGGGGGAAAACGTGCACCAGAAGCAGGTGAAGGGACACACGCAGGTCCCACACAGTAATGGGACAAGAGGACTCGATGCCGGCCCCGCTCTGCTCCTTCAAGCGACCCCACAGCCCAGGCAGCGGCCCTGGCGTGTGCCTCCTCCTGCTCACCCCACAGCCCACCGCCGGTGATGCTCGGGGTCCCCTCACACCCTGGGGCCGCTCCGCTCTCAGCCCAACAGCGGCTCGGCCGACGAGGGACACCCGCTCGGAACTCCATAAGGAAACAAGCCCTCCGAGAGCACCCGCGGTACAGCAGCACGAAATGGCGGGGAGGAAGGGGGCCGGCCCTCACGGCCGGGCGGCGGCGGAAGG